ACTTACTTTAAAAAATTCAACCTACACGAGATGGGATTCGAACACGTAACCTTTCGTAATCCGGGCAACTGCAACGTTAAAATAGTGCTTATATTATACCTACACACCGTCATGTTGTATCGACTAATAAAAAGACTCTAGTGAGTTATCCAAATTTTGGGAAAAGTCATTTAGCTACGACAAACTTTTTTCTCCTGGTTTCCAGCAGAGCGACCGCCTAGTCGGGCGTTTGCGTGGTTTGAAGAAGAGTCCTTCTAGCTATAATTCTAGCGATGGAGAGTACGTCTTAGCGATTTTACTTTAATAACAATGAACAAATTAAAAAGAATGGTGAATAATGTTTTGACAGTAGTGTTTCCAACTTAGTCGTTTTATCCGTTTCACCAAAAGACAAAGTAGTAAAATGAAACGAAATATCATCATAATATTCGCTGTCGTATCCTTTGGCTAGAGTGTTACCAGGTCGCACCCCTCGCTACCTTGTTACAATATTTTTACCGAGAAATACAAATGTTATATCAAATATACTTAGGCATTCATGAAGAATTAATTAAGTGTTAATAAAACTTTATTATATTTTGATTATATATAAAACATTATTATATAGGGATGGGTGACCAAAAAATTATTATCTCGAGCTACTCCGTGCTTCGGAAGGCACGTTAAGCCGTTGGTCCCGGCTGCATTTGCAGTCGTTAATACCCTCCAATCCGCATTGGGCCAGCGTGGAGGGTCATGGCCCATCCTCCTTAACCATCCATAAGGAAGGCCTGAGCCCCTGCAGTGGGGACGTATGAGGGCTGGTGATGTGATGATGTGATGGTGATGATATTTTGATTAATTTTCCATTCACAATGCTATACTGAAAATTATTCTTTATACAAAATGCTTTAAAACTTTAACTAAACTTATGTAATATATCCAGACTTTAAAAGATCAGTTTTTTTTTTAATGTGATCAGTGAACCCCTTAAGGCGCGTAGTACTGTAAAAAAGGTCTTCAGTCTTCAATACGGACTATTTAACGATAATTAAACATTTTTTTTTTATTGATCGATAATAACTATGCTTACCTAGTTAGTACTTTAGCAGCATGGCGAACGCCAGCGGGATTACAACTTACATACGGCCAGTTGCACAAACGTCCATTAAAATTGACATTAGTTTAAAGGGACATTACCCATAGAAATTTGCCATTCATTAGAGCTTAAAGATGTCATTAAACCCTAATAGACGTTTGTGCAACTGACTGTTAGTGTCAAAATTATAATATTATACTGGAAACAGTACGGAATAACTTCTACTGCAACATTGACATTATTTTTTATAAATTGTATATAATCAATTTTCTAGCGCAAATGGGACCAGTGAATTTTTGAAGCATTATTTTTTTATAATTAATATATAATATTAAATAGTTTAAAATTTATTTCTTTCTTTATTAAAAAGGAGGTGGGAGATCATTCGTTATTAGAATGTTTGATTTCGTAGGACCTAGGGGTCGGTGGAGTGAAAAAGTTTAGGTAACACCGCTATATCCAGACTCCAGTATCCTGCTCACATGGTTCCCAGCAGAACGGATAAATCTGTCGACCCGTCGAGCGACTGCAACGAAGAGGAAATTAGGTGGACTGATTAAACTGCCGGGGGTTCAGGCACTTTTGATTAAAACACGCCTGTTGTTCGCGAATCGTTTCTACTTAATACGTAGGTAAGGTTACATTTGTCGTAACTAACCTTTTGTATCGTTTTCATTCCTTAGATGCATATCACTAATTATGTTCATACCGATAAATTTTTAGTTTTATTCCATTTATATTCTTTACTTTTTCTATTATATAACTTTGGACCTTCAATTTTATACCTGTAACCATTAAAATTCTGTGATATAAACTTATCCAAACCTCTACGAACTTTCATCCTATGTTTTTGCCTACTTACACTAATGTAAACCCTTACCTTTTTTTATGGGATAGATCTTCTTTTTTTATTTTATTTTTTTTATTTAATGGTAGGGGGCAGACGAACAGACGGATCACCTGATGGTAAGTGACTACCGTCGCCCATGGACACCTGCAACACCAGAGTAGCTACAAGCGCGCTGCGGTAGCTTTACCTGTAGCTTTCATAGTTTTTCGTTATACATTTTACGAATTCTAATCATATTAAATAACTTATTTGTAATTTATTGCTAATTATAATTGTTTTGACAGATTTGACATCAAAGTTGTCATGGTTATATTTGATACTCTTCATGAAAATTGACTCACTGTTTGTCATTTTTAGGTATTGAAACTCTGTAGCTTTTGAATACATTGAAATCATTTACTTCCAAATTTGAGCTCGCCCTCAAGTATATAAAGCCTTGTCTGTTTAGTTCTTCAGACTTCAATGGCAACAGTTGCTCAAGTTAGCTTTTTGGAGCTCGTACAGAGCTAGCTAAATTCTTAAAAGGCCTATTTCCCGGGCCGACTACCTCGGGAACTCTTCAAAGTTAAGGTCTCAAAATCATTTGACACCATTTTGGCTGTAATTAAACTTCAATAAATCAATACTAACAGTACTCTACTAAACCTCCTTCACTACCTTCAAACTTGGACGGAAATATTTTCTCCTGAAGCTGTCTACGAGTCTTCATCTGGAGGCCCGAGCTGGTGATCCGTTCTGGACGAAAGAACCATCTGCTCGACACATCGAGAGACGCCTCGTCGAGAAGGTGCTCCGGAACTTCGCCGCTGACCCAGGCCCCATCACCAGAAGCCTTGCGTTGACGACGACTATTTCTGCGCTAACGGAACGGATCTTCACCACTGACCCACGCCCCCTTCACCAGATCACCTACACTGACACTCTTTCACTCTCACTACCTCACTACTCACCTCACCAGTCACCTCGTCCCTTTTTATTAATTGTAAATAAATTACCTAATTTAAATTACCCCCTCTTTTAGTTTATTTATTCTTGTTTCATAACACATTATCTTAAATTATAAAAACGATTTCTATCTTTATTTCTTTATAGTCCCTGTGTGCCTAAAATTATTTGGGACTAAAGTGGGGAATCAAGCATACACTTTCAAAGAGAGACAACAGTAGAACCACACCATTACCTTTCCGGTCCCTAGTGCTAGCGTGATTTCAAGTCACTCTGTAAATGATTTTGGCTCATTAAGTATCGTTTTATACTTGAACTTAAAGTATCATTTGGTTCCAAAATAGAGGCTGAATCACAGATTTACCGAAGAAATAGATTTTATGTACTGCGAACACTATTTTTATAATTATTACAACTAGAATTTAAAGTAATATTAAAAACTGATAAATAAAACTAGACACGGGATTTTTATGCAGCTTATTCATATTAACTAGGCTGATTTGTACCTCACTTAAAGAATTAGTTTGGCTATTCAAAGAGGAAACGCTCGCAGCCTTCTGGGTACTTTACCTGTTGGCAATGATCTGGCAGATAATTTTTATTTAGTTTAGTTATATGACATAGCTTTGATAAATAGTTTTAATTTATTTTCATTATCTTTACATAATCACAGAATAGTAGTTTCTAATTTAATGTGTTTTTTATGTTTATTTATTTTAGGGTGTATTAAACAAACGACCCGATAAAATAAAAAAGACTGTAATTCGATTGCATTAAAACAAAAAATATATACATATAAACCCTCTATGCAAAAACTTTAAAACTATGACGACACGGATAAAAATCTATGATAAAAATTGCTGAAGATTATTTATTTGACTTTAAATCTATGGATTATACTCTAACCCTATAATTTCCTTGAATTAACTTATTCTATTCTCTTTGATTTACATTCTCTTTGATCACCATAACAGAATAAACTTCAAAACTGTCATAAAAATACACTCCGTATACCCAGTTGAGTCCAAATTATGTGATAACTTTCAAAATAAAATCAACGTTCATGTAAATACAAACAATGAAATATGAACGGGCCCGTACGCCCAGCACGGACACTTGTGGAAGCTGCTGCTCGTCCGTAACCACCGAATGCAGACGAACATACAAAAGAATAAAATTTGGTCTAAAAAGATCCGTTCCTGCCGCGATAGTCTTGTGGGCATTCCATAAAATCCCTTCGCCCCATGGATTGTCGTCGAGGAGGGTAATAGCATTTTTGAAGAAACATTACAAAGTTGTCGATGACCCGAGGAGGACAGGCAAGTCTTTTGGTGCAATGTTGAGGTGTGCTGTGGACTTCGGGCTTTTAGAAAAACGCGGCAACAAATTCTTCCTTGCTGTGAGGAAAAATCTATGACTATATCCTAAATTTGGATTTCTAAACAGTTATGTTACGGTGTAGTCGTGGTAAATTTTGTTATTATTATTTTTTTAATACCTAGTATTTCGTCTCCTGTCGATGTATATTTTTGTATGTATAACTTGTATAAAAATAAAAGATCAATGAATAAATTTTTCTAACAATCTCCTAAAAGATGGATAGACTCATTAAAAACTGAATGACTTATTGTATGTAGATATTCCGCGATAACGTTTCTTCCTTTTTTTTCTTGATTTAAGAATCTTATAAGATTCTTAAATCAAGATAAATAACAAAGTTACATATAATAGTTTCTGATATAAAGTACACTGTGGCGCCGATGAGCTTCGGACACAGAAGTCCAGCAGCGCCCCAGTTAAAACTCTGTATTTATAACGAATTTCATAAACTTTCCAAGATTTTCATCATTTATCAGTCTGGTACTTACATAGCGGCGATAAATAGATCAAGTAAATACAGAAATAATTAAGAAAATGTGGCGCTGCTAGGCTGACAAACACTTGATTTAATTAGATGTTTTTTGTAAACGTCACTGAGAATACGAAATTAATAAATAATATTAATTAATAATTAATTCTTCCAAAACCTAAGACTACAAAACATCACGGTACAATTAAGTTCGAGTTTACAAGTATATTCTAGTTTTGTTTTTGTATTATTAAGAAAATAAATGAAACAAAAATTCATCCAATAATAATAATATTTAATATTTCGTTCATAAATTTGTATTTACATGATGCTCACTTAAATTATATTGTTATATATACGAAACAACAAATCCAAAAACTATATAACATTACTTGTGTACTTATTACAGAACTTACGCATCATTAGGTCATTGCAATAAAAAAAACTGCTTAAATTGGAAAGGGTTAATAGTGGTGGAATGCTTACATACAACAACTCTAAGCGCCAGACTTTGCGTCTGTTTAAAAATACTCCATTAAATACCATTGCACTTCGAACCGTATTACGACGTAATGAGGTACAATATTCAAGCGCATTTTGTGAACATCCAAATACGACAACAACACTGTATTTACAAAGTAATGAACACTGTAACACCTACTTTATGCAGTCAATATCTATACACTGTACGTATTAATAATGATGACCTTAATTTCATATTATGTGAACAGGACATTGATAACTCCGAAAAAAAAATTGAACTAATAATAACGACTTATAACCGATGTTTGCAAAGTGACAACACTTTTAATGACCAAGGATTTTTTCCATACATCCCACATTGGATTTAATTTCGCAACTTGCAGATATTTGTAAACAGAAAATCTTTTGAAGTTCATAATTGATTAACAAGCTAAAATTACTGTCAACAGGAGTGCTGAAAACAAAAGTATTCCAAAGGCGTTACCATACACATAATGGTATCTTTATAGTCACTGCATTTAGCAACCGGAGGCATATACTGCACGACTACAAACTAGTGTGACGGCATTAGTCAAGACTATCGTTAACAATAATATCGATTGAAAACTATCGAGCCTTTTTTAAACTTGATATCATCGATATTTTTATTATATTGTAACTAGGCTACTAAAAATATCGATATTGTCGATAGTCTAAACTATTGCTGCAACACTACTACAAACGGCTAGGTTATAATACTATAGGCGCATGATTAGAACAGGATGTCGTTTTCAGTGTCGTCCAGGAGGTTGGATGCGTCGTGCATATCAACACCTGCCGCTTTGAGAGCAGCTTTTTTCTGAAAAAATATTTTACAATGTGAATATACAGTTAAACGAAAGGACGTATATTGTGAGCGTTTATCCACGTAAACCAACGAACGATTGCGGAAGAAACAATCAAAATATGCGAAATAATAGATAAGCGTATAAGTTTTAATTCCCTTTACGTATGTAAACGGCGCTACGCGAATATCAAGACATGAAATTGACATTTGTGATCAATAACTCGATAACATTAACAAAAATTATATTTCTTGAGATCCATTCCAATGACAAAATCCCATTGTCTATACCTAATGAGTTTAGAATCGAACACCATGTAATCTGTAATTATTCCAAGTAACGAATTGGCTTCTCCAGCAATGCCAGGATCATTATATATTGAACTCTATTCCCAAATTTTATTAAGAAAAAAGAAATATTCGAGTGCGATTCAAAACCACGTTACTCACTCGATCACGTAACTATTTGAAAAATTATTAAAAAAATACAGCTCCCATTTATTTCTGACAATTATTACTTTAATTTCGACTACGTTCGCTTGTTTTACGCCAACAAACGTTTAGATAATCCAGAGTTGAAAGGATTCAATCATCAAATTAATATTTATATTACAAATAATAAGTATACAACTACAAATAAAAAGACGTGGTCGGACGTCCAAAAGGAATACATAAATTATTTCTAAGATCTTATCATTGTTAAAACAATTCCCCAACATAAAAATAAATATATACTTTCAGCTCTAGAAAACTTTATTAATCCATAAGTCACACACATTCCATAAGTCAATTATGGTAAACAATCAATAAATGTATAATAAATGGTAAAAACACGAGCTGACAGAATTAAGACACATCACATCACGTGCACTTTTTACATTTTCATACATAAAGGTCGAAGAGAGAAGAAAATGTAAAGAATAACACCATGCGCGATTTCAGATGTCAACTTACAATATGGCAAGCTTTGGGGCGTAAATATACCTACATACATATTTGTCATGTCACTCTTTTACATGTCACTTTTTTATCCGAAGCCAAAACAAAAGTTTACTTCGTTTTAATTGTCTAGTTGTCAATAATTGCGCTAGAAATACAAATTTCTAAACAGGGTTCGTAGTGATAATTATATTAATAAATATACCTTGATAATTATCTCGAAAATAGGGATGATGATTAATTTTTGTTTGTTTGTCCGTCAGATAGAGTGTTAAAAATTATTAAACACGTAATTTTTTCGTAATCATAAAATTACGGCGTTACATTGAGTTGATTCGCATTCGCATTTCGCATGACGTCACGTTAAGGTACGTTTTCTACTCAACTGTGACGTAGCGAGCCCCCACTCCTCAACTTTAATACCTGTTATCTAAGCTATTTCTTGTTAAATTGAAGTAAAAAAAAAAGTATCTAATATTTTTCTATTATCTGACTGACGGACTAAATAGAATTGCATTTTTTTACCCAGTCATCATCCCTATTATAAAACGTTACACAAGCCCTTTTTGGGCTTAAAGAATTATTTTTAAATGGGAATCATATTAAAAAACTATTACGAGATAATTGTTTGGGACAAAAACATTTAAAAAAAATATAATCAAAAGCCCCCTTTTTATACACAAAATATTTGAATTTAACTTTGTTCAATGTGATCACATCGTTACGATGAAACGAAGGATTATTAAGTATCATTTTTAAGGATAATTCATATCCTTAAAACACTTTTTTAATTAACAAAAATAAAATCTTCAAAATTATAATGCAACATTTAGACGTATCAAGGGATTCCCTTGGCCGAAATATAATTTAAGATGTTTTATTATCGGATAATCATAATTATCATGACATTTATTATCCAAAATATATCTTCACAATTGATAGTTACCAACCCTGTTTACCTTTTACCTTACCTGAGGACCTTGCAAGGCGCCATGAGTTATTAATATTTTTGGTGGCGTCTTTTCGCTCACTGAATAGTACAGTGGTACAACTCAAAAACCATCATTTCGAGAAAACGCCACAACATTGTGGTGGCATCCCATAGATAATTAAAAGAAAAAATAAAAAAACTTATCAGTAATAATATAATACAAACGATTTAACTGTTATGCTAAGAAAAATGATTTTCATAATTATAAATATATTAAAATTTCAAGTAATTAGTGTTTTTTTGTGAATTGTGCATTCACAAAGCTATATTTTCTTAATGTTTAGTTTTAGAAAAACTAATAAATTAGTCATTTTATACTAAATTACTAACGAATTGTACAATAAATATATTAATCAAAACCCAAAACCACACGACACAATTATTAAGTATGATGACCGGAAATGTAAAGCGATACCATAGAGTATATTATGAAAACTCTATGGTGGCTTTTTTCGTGTCTATGACGGATGTAAGTGCAAAGTGAGAAGACAACAACATGAGAGCAGGCAGCGACTGTTAAGTGCGTAAAGATATTTTGTCAAAGCATTTTGGACACGTAACACCGCCCGGCCGTATATTTTATGTAACTCTTGGCGTATTATGTTTCCAATTAATCAAATATTACTAGGATTCACACAAACCATGTAATTTAAAACGGTTCAGTTATTCAAAATTGTTTTTTATATATCTATAATCCATTTCATAATCAATTTTTTTATTTATTACGTAATCTGCGTCTGAACAATACTTGTTTCTGGAAAAAAGTAAAGTATTTAAGAAAAGCAAGATCTAAAAACATTTACTTCTAAAACTAAACTGAAAACTAAGAAAAAATGTCACCATTTTATACAATGAGTGATATTATAGTAACTGCATTTTAATAAAAATTATTCTAAAGCGCTGTAGTGTTCTGTGCTTTAAAGGTCATTACTACATGTTGTGGCCGTATATGGTTGTTGCACCATAAACAAAATCTTAATTTTTTTATAAACATTTCGCCATAGAGTCCATTGCTTTTTTTCGTACGGCCGAGCGGTACCTACCCCGGTACGTAGGAACGCGCGCGCTAGATGTGTATTTAGAAGAGGAGGTCCTCATCTCCCTCATCAAGGAGGTTGACAATATCGCGCAATTCTTTCCCGCTCTCGAGCAGTTTATCGGCCGCTTTCTTCTGCAAACGACAACAGAACCGGTCAGAGCTGGCCTTTATCAATTGTGCATTTGCACGGGATAAAAAATATTTTTTCTTTATAGTAGTAGAAAGTCAAACATTAAAAATATAAAAAGATCGAACGATTTTTTTCTGATTTAGTTATTATTTTCTTTTATAATGATGTGGTGGAGTGAGGACTTTTTGGACATTTTGTCTTTTTGATCCTTAGCGAAGCCTGTGGTTTAGTAAGTTATGACGTCATAAATCAATAGTTTTACTGTATAATAACGATTTTAAATAATTTTCTTTTCTTTTGTATTTTTTTTCTTTTTCAGAACAAACTTAATATTTAGGAAGGTGGTTTATTTTTTATTTATTTTTATGAATACAGCTTTCAATATGAAGTAATATACTAAGTATGAAATGTCACGAATTTGTTTATGAAGATTAAAAATGAAATTACACTTTTATCAATCTAACATTAAAAACATTGCGTGGAGATCTTTTTTTTTTTGTAACAAATTATTGGTGACACTCATATGTACTTCCGTGTTAGAAAATATTGTCTCCCTTCGATATCGAATTGATATTTTTTTCCAAATTTTACCAAGTAGGTACCAAATCAGTAGTTACCGGCTTCTAAATACGCCGAAAATTCAGCAAATCGGGAAGCAACAGGGCTATTTCAGCTAATTAAATGCCCTTTTTATTGTTAGCAACCATGGACATCGGAATATGAAGATACTATTTCAATTCCTTCTATAAAAAAATCTATGTATAACAAGCAAGTCGCTTGTGCAATAATCAAATCGCATTGATTCCAATGAGAAAGTATTTAAAAAACGGAAAGCACTAAAAAAGCACCTCCACTAGATGGCGACTCTAGCAAAAGTTGATTTTTGCAGGAAACGAAATGACCAAAGATAGTCATTTCCGTTCTTTTTAACTAACATATTACAAAACTGAAATATGCTAAGTTCGAAACTTATATATCAATACATATACGAAAAAGTACAAATAGAATATGAGTTGTTTATTAAGTTTTGAAAACTAATTTACTTTTATACATGAAAGAAAACCGGAAGAGTTGTCATGGAGAAATAAAGAAAGTACCGTAGCGACATCTAGATTGATTTTGGGAACTAATGATTTTTTTTAAATACTTCCTCGTTGGATACTTAACGGTAATTCCAATAAATTATGAATTATGTTAGAAAAGGTAACTAAGAGCGAAGAATAACTATGTGGTGTTATTTATTTTAAAATAAATTGTAGTATAATTTATTTATTCACAGATTATAAATTGCAATACCGAGAACCGAAATGCGAGCGGCTATGACGCAGCATCGTGTGCCGTCACATTTCAAAACGTTAACGTCTTTATTGCGAGTGCGACCAGAGGCCTAATACATAATACTAAAATCTATCGATAACTTCATTTTTCACGACAATTGAATTAACGATGTCCTTAATTTGGCGTTAATTGGAAATGTCTAAGTTAAGTGTGTATATTACATTTGTAAGCTTTTGACAAGTGTCAAACGATAGAGTCAAATACTAACTCGATTCCGAAATCGATTGCGGCTTTAAACGTACACACTTCCATAAATAGATTTTACAATATACCTTTGTAAGGCATTGATATAGATTTTGAAATTAATCTGAAAAGCCCACAGTACGCAATTGAAATGTGATGTCACAGCTCAAAATATCATATTTTCGAGGGACATTTTAAATTAATGAATAGAAATATGATTTCACTTTATTTAATAACACTTTTTAGAGAAAAATTAATCTGACTGTATTTGGAAATGATCATAAAAAAGTTATAAAATACTTTTCCAAAACAGTCAATTAACTTCAAACAATGGAAACAAAATTATCATCATTCGAAAATCAAACTATTGCATCTAATATATGTTACCAAGTATTTTTTTGCTTGTAATTATGTTTTCAATGATTTGAAATACTGAATAATACACAAATGCACCTATTCGGACCCAAACCGCATTCATGGCTGAATTCCGCACACGAAAATGTATAGAAATGTTAATTAAACGATCATGATGGCCCATGTACTGATGTCGCACTTTTAAATAATAACTCACCGCTTCTGCCTTGTCTTTGATAATCTTCTTTTTGTCTTGAATCTTCTTCAGCCGGTAGAACTCCTCACGCTCCAACTCGTCCAACTCGGAGATGATGTACGCGAGAGTGCGTTCCAGTCGCGGAATTATCACTGTATACAAGGAATTTTCCATGTCATCGGAGTTCTGTAATATCTTTATCTATGTACAGTCAACATGTCAGGTTATACAAAACTGACAAATTTCTCCACTTTATTTTAAACCTTAGTATATTGAGCATATAATACAAAATTACTTGCAGAAATTTTACATATTGTGGTAGCCTGACATGCAGATTTGTGTGTATCATGCAGCTCTATGACTGTCAAGTAATTTAACTTGACCTGATAATACTTTTTTGTACTCCCAACTAAGGAGTTTAAGAAAAAGGTACATAGTAAATACATAGACACACTGTCCTCAATATTGTAACTCTATTACACTATTAACACTGATAAGACTGATTCAAAATAAAATTTGATATAGGATTAGGTTAAGCCCTGAAGAACGAGGCATAGCGGCGGATTGTGTTCTGTCTTAGCAATTTATTCAGCTGAATTTTCAGTTTCATTCTGCCAACTACTTAAAAATAAACAAACTAATGTATACCATGCTCAATAGCATTGACACGCCTGTTGGTGATCTTGATTACTTCATCGAGAGTGACAAAAGACGTCTGCAGGGATGCCAACTCTACAAGCAGCTTCACAGCACTCTGGAAGTTCTTCTTCAGCTTGGCCAACTGCTGTCCACCTCGAGCAAGACCAGCCAACTCGTATGTGTCAGAACCATCTTGGTAAGACTCAAAAATGGGTAATGTGACACCTAGAAAGTTAATATGGAAGTTTAAGTTGAATTTCAAAACAAAAATGTTTTTATAGCATAAGAAAACATCAATCTGAGAAAGGATTGAAAAACTCACATCACATTCATTTTTGTAAACAAGATATGAACAAATTTATTTTTGATATCTTAATCGAGATTTACTCATTAGTTCCTACAAGCATATGTTTACAATTAAAACAATGCTACAGCAATGCATTTAATCATTTACCTTTATAAATTAAATTCAATGGCTTCAATTTCAAAATTCATATAGCCAATTTTGCAAGCCACAATAGAATTTTACATTACATTTCTATATTATGGTATATTGTGCATTTTTGGATAAAGAAAAAAATTTATAGGCACATTATAATTTGATCTTTTCACCTGCAACATTGTCTTTCTTGGAACGGATCTTGATTTGAGCCTTAGTGACATTCTGCAAGACCACTTGGTTGAAATCTCCAGTAGTGAATTTAGCTTCTGCCAGAGAGAATGCAGCTTCTTTCATCACCTCACCCATAAGAGTTTTAGTCTAAAAGAGTCATAATCATATACAAATTGAAATATTTAATCAGTTTTAATGTCTTTATTAATTTTGATGAGTTGCCTGGAAAAATTACAATCAACAATAAGACTTCCACTTTTGTTACTAATTACTTTAGTATGTTTGCATTTCTCTAAAAAAAATTAAATGTTAAACCATACTTAACTGTTACTCAATTGTAATTTTAAGAGGGCTTAGAAATTGAGATTTAAATGTAAGATTATTTAATATCCATAGATTTACTATCATTATAAGAAAGATCATTTAGAAAAATCACCAGCAGATCATAAAACAGCAAATATAAGTATGGATAACCATTTACTTAAGCAGTATTTTAATGATTTAATTCCTCTTTTCTTAAAAAAAAGTCTTTTCACATATAGTATGCACATACTTGTAATAAAATCTATACCTCTCATCTATAATACCATTTGTATCTGGCTGGTTTTGTTATCAAAAGTTTAAATTTTAAAGAAGACTCCGAATTTTAATAATGAAAATGTGTTACTTTAATTTATTTTTCCTACATTCAAAATGAGTGAATCTAATGAAGAAATTAGATACATTTTAAAATTTTATTACAAAAAGATAAAAACACAGTGCAGGTTGCGATAAAAAATTGTGATGTTTATGGACCTGTTGTTTCTGTGAGAGTAGCATAAATTTGGTTTAAACGTTTTTGGTCCATAAAATTTTGATGTCAACGGTACATGTTGCTTATACATTTTAATGGGTACTAAGATTGTGTAACAATAAAGAATAATTGAAAGTATTTTCTCCCAGTTAACTACACACTACAGAAACTAACAGAAGTGTAGTCATAACAAATACTTATTATGTTTCAGTCAGTCAAAGATATTAAAAAAATAATACGATGAAATCAGACAAATGATAAGCCCATAATTACCTCGATGATTTTACTCAGGATCATACGAAACCTAACTTGTAGAGCGTCAGCTTTCTTTTTCAATAATCCATGACCTTTTTGAGCACCAGCCAAACGGCCTTTTATTAACATTTGAGCACTGTAAGTAGAAAAAATCCATAAAAAATCCCAACCCGTTCAAATTAGTTTTAAAACGAAGAACCTTACTTCACTAATATTTACGTAAGAAGAAATTACACTTACCCCCGAGACGGGAAAATCGCTAATCTATCTTTTCCCGACATTTTGATTAGGAATTATTTGCGTTTTATCCCAAATCAGGATTTTTTTACTCCCAATCCCGATCACCTGATGACAGCAATAGATGATAAAAATATTGTCTTTGGTAAGTCTTGTGATCTTTAAAAAAAAATGTCAATTCTTGTTGAGTGGTCCAATGACTGACTAAAGAAGATTTAATGGACCTGCTATAAATAAGCAGTAGTATTACTTCTCTCGACTTTAGATACGAAGGTGAAAATAACTGCTTAAAATTTTTAAGTGTTGTTACGTTGTACGATTTTTCATAAGCGTTTTTAAAAACTGCTTATTGCTTAAACGCTTTTTTTTAACTGACGTTTAGAAATCGTTATAATAACCGTGCAACATTGTGTTATCACTACATAGTATAAAACAAGTCGCTTTATTTGTCTCTATATCCCTATGTATGCTTAAATCTTTAAAACTACGCAACGGATTTTGATGCGGTTTTCTTTTTCATAGATAGGGTGGTTCAAAAGGAAGGTTTTTATGTATAATACAAGACTACAATACTATTACCGTTTCTCGACATTTTATTTACACAATCTTAAAACTAATGCAGTTCAATAATATTTAGAATGTTTTATATACACACCATCACCTCATAACAAAACTTATTTACATTGTTTATTTAGGAATAAACAAAAGTCATTACTTAAGTAGCAATTTATTTACGCATACAATTCAACTTACGCAATTAATTAACATTCAACACAACGTGCACTTACTTCAACAACGAAAAGCGTACTGCTTTTTAAGTATATGTTCCGTTTAAAAAAGCGTTTGGATTAACCAACCAAAAAAGTTGGATATCACGCGTAATAGTATAATACACTGCATTTATGTAAAGTGCTGCCCTCTAATAGAAAATTGCCGAAACAGAAAAATTGATTTAAGCAGGTAGTTATATCTTGATAGATGACGGGACGTACAATAAGCATTAGCATACTTTTCTTCTAAGTGAAGAAGCACTTTTGCACTTATTTAGAAAAGCATGCTTAATTAAGTGCTATTTGTTTAAATGTCCATCTCTAATTGTAAATATGATCCACCACAAATATATGTGTATCAATAAGACAGTATTTCCTAGAGCAATTGATATTAATTCCATTATAAGATTTTTATTTACAAATGGAAGCTCGTAACTGCGTTTTTGCCACTGATGAAAGCGAATATTGACGAGACATGAATGGCATATTCATGGCATGAATGGCAATTATCTAATGGATAATGCTTCATAATCTAATTGACATTTTAATATATTGTGAACTTTTTCACCGTCTCTCCTTACTTAAATATACGTATTTTAGCTATTAAAGTTAACTATTTGCTTTAAAATTTCACGGGTTCTAACAAATACGCAGCAAATGATGCTTCTGAAACAGAAATGGTGAAGATATCGTAAAACAAGAAAGGGAATAGAACCATGGAATAAATACACAGTTGATTGATATTATTCTACTTTGAATACCCATATTTTTTTAATAAAAATACCAAGTCCATTATATCTTTGATCATTATCCTCATTGATACCTGTTCCTAGGAGTGCCGGACAACCTTATGTACGCTTAATTTAACTCCCCTTTCGTTATCAGACTATGTAATAAGGAAGAATTAAAAAAAAAATAGTTTCGGAGATCAGACGAGATGTCGCTACGGTAATTTCTTGATTTCTCCATGACAACTCATTAAACAACTCATATTGTATTTGTATTTTTTCCTATTTGTATTAATATCTAAGTTCCAACCTCTCAGTTTCAGTTTTTTAATATGTTAGTTAAAAGGAACGGAAATGAACATTTTTTGGTACATTCGTTTCCTGCAAAAATCAACTTTTGGTAAAGTCGCTATCAGTGAGGTACTTTTTTAGTACTTTCTTTTTTTCTTTGCTTTTTGAATTCTTTAACATCGGTAAAACTTACTTAAGTTCCTTTCAAGTAGCTATAATAAAAAAATAACTTCAACAAAATTCAAAATTTAATTTAGGCTTACTGCAACATACAAAAAGCAGAGCTTATAAAATACTAAAATATGAAATACAGTGAGCAAAACACTGGATTCCTCGCGAAATCCACAAGGGCAACGCCATTAATTAAAAAGAAGAAAAAGAATATAAATTGTCACTGATTGTCACTGTTATGACATTTTGGTTGTCAATTCAATCGTCAAACAAATTGAAAAAACAAAAACAGTCTAGAAAATAACTGTTTATTTAAAAAAAATAGGATTTTTTCTTCCTTTTATTTAAAGTAGGGTATTTATTAACAAGTGACTTACATAGAAAGAACGGTGATAGTATAAATTGAAATGTTTACTATAATTATATACTAACCATGGATCACAGGATTTCAATGCTTCAATATTCAAACCATAATAATGGAGAATAAAAATATCATAAACTTGTGTCGAATTTGCCTTGAAGAAGGAGCTTCTCGTCTAATATTTGAAGCAATAAATAACCAAGATAGTATTTACTCCAAAATTTCTATGTGTATGAAAGAAAAGGTTTCTTTTTTCTTTTAATAACTTATGTTTAGAATTTTATCGTTTTAGAGAAATTGTTAAATGTATTTTTTTTAGGTTGAAGATATTGAAGGCTTTCCAAGAAATATATGCAAATTGTGTGACGAGACATTAGATACTCTATGCAACTTCATAAACAAATACCAAGAATCCTGTAAGATATTAGAAAATGGATTGTTGATTTTAAAAAATGAAAATATACATTTAGATCATCAATATAGTGATAATGAACACTCCGAGAATTTAATAGAAATAGATGCAATCAAAACTGAGTTAAATGATTTTGACGATATTGATGATAATGAGTGTCTCGTTGATCTCATAAAACCATTACAGCACAAAAAAGCCAAAACTAATGTGAAAAAAGAAATTGCTAAAATTAAAGTAAATAAGGAGATTACAATAAAAAAAGTAAAATCTAATTCTATAAATAAAACAAATAAAATAGCTACATCACTATTAGAAGGTGAATTTAATTGGACAGGAGATAAATGGTGGTAATATTTATATTTATTATGTTGGATTGAAATGGTTTTTTTTTTCAGTAAAATTTAAGTGAATAATATTTACTTTTCATATTTCAGACATTTTATTAAAAATTATTAATTAAAACTTTTTTTTATTTCAGTTTAAAAATTGGAAAAAACTCTGATAATATACAAACTAGACTTAAGAAAAGGTTACGAATTCCTGAAAAACGTAAAAGAGAAGTGAAATTGGAAATACCAAAAATTAAGAAACCAGATCCTCCGAAGCTATGCGACCTTTGTGGAGAAGTGTTAATAAATCAGGATAAGTTGTTGAAACATAAGAGGAAAGTGCATTTCAAGAAACCAGTTAAATGTCCGGAGTGCCCTAGGGTATGTGCTTCTGAACAAGATCTGAAGAGACACAGGAAAAGAAGACATGAGAAATGTAAAAACTACATATGTTCTGTTTGCGGTCACGCTTTTGCGTTCCAAGGAGAATTGACAACTCATAATAAAAACGTGCACAACAAACACTTGATACCGAAAAAGGTGTTTGCTTGTAAACATTGTAATAAGACATATAAATGTGGCAAATCTGTTCTAATTCATGAAAGATCAGTACACACAGGTAACTTTGTTTGCTTTATATCAATATTTACTTCGTAGTTACATAGTTAAATGATGAAATTTTAAAGAAATTTGTCAACATTAGAGAACCTAATATAATGCTGGTGATTTAAAAAATAAGGTTTTATTTACAGGCCAGAGACCAGCTGAGTGTAGTATATGTGGTTCAAGATTTTTCCATGAAGATTATCTGAAGGAGCATATGCGGCTTCACACTGGCGAGACCCCTTTCAAATGTCCTATTTGTGGCAGAGGGTATGCTCAAAGAGGCAACATGAAGAGTCACTTACGCATCCATAGATTAGCAGAGATAGACGCAGAGACTATGAGTAAAATGAGGCCCAATTACTTAAAACTCTTAAAAGATTTCAGATGATTTTTCAATAAAAAAAAATAAGCTGATTTTAGCATGATAATACATTCAAACAGATTTCGATGGCAATATTGTCTTTCAACTATGCAGGCAGAAATTTTGCTATGAAGAAAGAAGGGGGATAAAAAAATTTGTTGCAGATTGAATTATTTACTACAAAAGAAATTTATAAACTGTTCATATTTTTCCAAGATTTTATATAAGAGAAGTTAATATTTTAATTAAGTTAAAAAATTGTTAATTATTTTAATTTTGATTCAAGAGTATTGGAGTGGCATAATCATCTTGTCTTTATAAGAACTGTTTTGAAAATCATATATTGATTTTGAACGATCGACAACTGAGCGGATAAGAAGTCGCGCGACTCAGAGGCACTACAGACATCACCGTCAGCCTCTTTTTCTCCACACTACTTAGGCACAGGATTTCGGTAATGATGGAATGAAATAGAATAAAGGGGCCACCGCACGGACCCAATGCCGTTTTGATGAGCGTGAACGACAGCAGATATAGCCGGGACCAACGGCTTCACATGCCGGAAGCACGAATGAGCTAGAGATATTTTTATTGTTTATGGTCCACCCATTGTATGATCAGCTTCGAAAATTTCTTAATTACCGCATCGCAAATGGAAGACGTTAATCGGCGCGCCGTAGAGTACCCCAAAACACTAAAGCCTAAACGCATTTATGTGAAAAGGTTCTGATGCGCGTTTGTTTTTTTTTTTTCTACAGAATACAGTAAATAAAACAAAATTAACCTTCGCGTTTTTCACTAACCTTTGCGAGTTAGTAGGTACATTTCTCAGGCAAACTTGCCCCGGAGCACAACTGCCTGAGAAATGAAATAAGTCAGTACCAACCTACAGTATATAATTTTTGATCACTAAATTATAATTGAAGTTTTCCAATTTTATACCTATATTGGTACTAGTGATAGCTTTGCTTACAATAATACTCTCGAATTAATGCCAGATACAATGTAAGATAAATATTATCTATTACTACTTTACGGATACTTGTTAGAAACTTTCTGTTATTATTGTTTCAATGTTTAAACTTTAGTTAAAAATATGTTGTCGAAAAATAAAAAAAATATTAATCATTTCTAACGAAGTCTTTTCATAAAGTCATAATCATTAATGATGAGAAGTATTAATAGGAGATTACGAAAAATAAGGCTAAAAACAAATAGTTTCCACTACGTTACTCTGTAAATAGCATCAATGTGAAATTACACATTAATTTTAATGACGATCACGGGTTGAATTGGAGCCAGATTGATCACAATGGCCCAATCAGTGGCGTGACTATAGGGTGGTAAGTCGGTAAAATGTCACGGGCCCCCAACTGGAAGGAGCCCCCGGTCAGAGGAGACTCCTTACTCCTGACATTTATAATTACGCAATTAGAATAAAGAAAATGGAATATCCGATGAATTTTCCACAGGCCTCAAACGGTATAGTTACGCCGCTGGGACCAATAAGACATTTAAAATGTAGTGCTTAAATTCTCTTTGGATACAACAATAAGTGTTATATATTTTTTTTGTTCCTAATCGCAGTTTACCGAAGTTTTATGAATATTTCCCAATGATAAGGGATATTTCCATTGCACAAATATCTTTTCGTTGTATTTGAAGACAAGTCTTATGTACCTAGATAGTAATATTAGTGATATTTTTGCTTAACATATACGCTACTTTTTATCCCACTAAACAGTTCCGTAGGGAAAGCTTACCTTAACTAATATTATAAAAAAGGGAAGATTTGAATGTTTGCATCGAACAGGTTCCAAAGCTACTGGGCATATTCAATGCTATGAGGCAGTTATTGAAAACTGTTTATTAAACTAAAATATTACAAGTATCAAGATGACTATCCTTTTTCCCCAATATTGCCTTCTATAAACAAAGTCATTTTATCTGGTTCAGCGCCGCCTCCGGCTAAATGAAACTTGGCGCCCTAGGTAAAAAATTGGAGAGACGCCCCTAAAAATCACGAGAATATAAAATAATAATGTGGTTACACCATGGAAAATGTCGTGCGCCTAAGTTTTTAGAATTGACGTACTTTTCAGTATCTATTTCTTATTTTTATATAGGATAAAGCCTTACAATATGTCGTAAAACCACAGAACAATGAGAAAGTATTAAAAAAAAAGAAAGCTCCAATAAAGCACCTCCACTGAATGGCGACTCTAGCAAAAGTTCATTTTTGTAGGAAACGAATGGACCAAAGACAGTCATTTCCGTACCTTTTAACTAACATATTAAGAAACTGAAATTTGAATAGTTCGAAACTAAGATATCAATACAAATACGAAAAAGTACAAATAGAATATGAGTTGTTTATTGAATTTTGAAAACTAAGTTACTTTTATACATGAAAGAAAACTAGAAGAGTTGTCATGGAGAAATCAAGAAGGTAAAGTAGCGATATCTAGTTTGAATTAGGGAACTAATGTTGTTTTTAAATACTATCTCATTTAAAATTTTTATTTTCTGGCAACATTTATCATTGTATAGTCTGTCACGCATCTGTCACTTTTGTTTTTGCTGTGCCTGGGGTCGGTTTTTCTTTGTTGATAATTGTGATTAATAATTGATTGAATGCTATAGAACGAAAAACACATTTACTGACGTCAATTCGGTCATTCGATAACGTCGTCTATATTTGTGAGGTATTTCAGAACTTCATCGTCACAATGCTTAGTACAAAAATCCATATTGTGATCAGTGCTATTGGGGCTTTTATTGGAATAACAGCCTTTATTTGTTTTTGCCTTGTTTATTCCAATATTGAAGCTGGTATATGGGCGTTAATATCATGTAAGTTACAGTTTTAGCCAAAAGTTTATCTTTGTAAACAAATCATGTATACAATATAATTTGTCCTTCAATTGTGCTTTCAACTTGCAAACTTTGCATGCAATCTGTCTTTTTTCCAAATTACTAATATGATTGTAACGTTTTTATTTTAAGTGGATCAAGTGATAGACAGTATATGGTACTAAAAGAAGTAACAACAAAAGGTAAAATAATCACAGATTTGCATCTATGTTTGATGAAATTAGAAAGTACCCTGCATATATAATGATGAAGTACATAATACAAAAATTAATAGTTATATTTATAAAATTTACTGTCATGTAAGAAACTCTATAAGTAGATATTTGTTTGTTGTATGAACAGGTGTACATGCAGCTCTCAATCTTATGTTACACTGCCACTACCTCAAGGAATCGCTTCATGTCAACTTCTCCCGGAAGGCTCTGCAGTATATAGGTGATTGTGGAATAGTTGGCTTTGCATCGGGAGCTGCTCTCACAGTGTTTTACATATTTCTGGAAGTATACTACCAAGCGGGTTAGTACTTTTTTTTAAACTTATAATTAAAGCATAGGAATTGATATCTTTATTTTAATAATAGCAACCAACTTTGGTTACATATACTTGCATTATGAGCCCAGTTAGAATAATATTATTTCATACTTCAACAATTGTCAATTTAATTCATTTCAATTTTAAACTTTCTCATGACTCACTCTGTCTGTTATGGAAACCACATAAAAAACGATAGATTTCAGTTTATCACATTCAAATAGATGAGGCTAGAGAACTTTGTTTTATTTTATAATATATAAGATGCACAATCAACCACCTGTCAGGTTATGACAAAACTGTCTATTATGATCCTGAATGTGGACAGAGTAAGGAGAGGAAGACCAAACAAAAAAGATTAATAGACTGAACAATGAAATGTGTTAAAAAAATGAATGGTGAAATATTAAAAAAAGATACATATTGCACCGACCCCAAATAAAATAATTGGGATGGCAAATGAATGATTATACCTACAATAAATTATTTTTAGAATTGGTCAAATAGAGAAAACAGTGTAACAAGGTTTAATGTTAAACATGTCATAACAAACAACTTTTTTTAAATAAAATCAAAAGTTATGTTTTTAAATCAAGGTGAAATTTGAGAACATTGTTGTTAGGATATAAGTGCTTTATGATCAATGAACTGCCTTCACAAAATTGATTAGACAAAATAAATATTACATTTTATTTTTCAGACATCCTACCTGTTCAGACAAGTATTATTATACGTTTGGTGTGGTCTTTCATGATGATGAAGTGGGGCTTGATGCTGTATTTGACGACAAAGAAATACTTAAAGACTTACAATGACCACCAACTTTTCTCAGAGAATCCGAATGTTGAAGATACATAAATTATACTAATGGTATGTATTGGTACAGTTTCTAGTATATTCATAAACACTTGTCACACTTTCAAAGTATATTCTATTGTATTTTTCTTTTTTTTATCAAACCAAGCTGTTTACTTAACTTTCTACAATATAATGGACAGATGACTAAAAAGTTTGGACAACTGTTTTTGAATATGTACAGGTTGTTTCTGAATATAATTTCACTTATAATAAGAACAAACTAAAAAAAGAAAGGAACATGACATTTTGTAACTAACACCAAAATTATGAACATTTTAGGATTAATATTTTATAGAAATATACATATTTTATGTAAATAATAATTATATTATGCAAATAGATTGCAAGCATATAATTTACCAAATCATTTTGCTGTAAAGCATGTAATTAACTAGTCTTATCAAAAATTTAAACAAACCCTGTGTAGTGCACAAAAATGGGAATATAAGTAGATATACTTTTTGAAGGATGTTAAAAATACATATATGCATTTGATTTTCGGTTTCTGTTACATCTGTTGAATAATTTATATCTGTTTGAATGTTTCAATAGTTCCTATTAAACTTAATTTATTATTCAATCATGTATCTCTCACACTCTTGCTAAAATACTTTTTTTGCATACACATAATAATCAAATGAAGCCTGCAATTAAATAAAGGTGTTTTATTCCAAACGTATCTCGAAATAATATATTTTTAGCGATCTGATACTTTATATTATGTAAGATTACAAATAATCTAGCTATAAAATGTATTATTAATATTTAACTGGTTAATATGCAATCACTTATCTTGTGAAACTCTATCTGGTTTTGAGCTATTTCGAAATATGCGTAAAAAATATAAAACTATATAGTTATTGCATAATTTTGAATTAATTACTTTAATTTCTTTTTGAGTTGCGAACCACTAAGAAACTTCTGAAATACTTGCAGGATGTAACATTTATGAGACAATTTCACTAACAGTAACTACTACACTCAGTCAATCAAGCTAATTAAAATCTCGGTCAGATTTTAATTAGCTTGATTTTAACCATTTCAAAATTATTTAATAGGTAGGTACTTTAAGGACTATGAAAATAGCTAAACTAAACTGATATAATAAAATTGAGCAAAAAATTAAATGCGTTTCAATGGTGAAATAACTGCAGAGATTTGTCTTTTTTTTAATATTACTAATATTTCGATATTAGTTTTAATGAAACAAAACATTGTTTTCATAGATAAAAAAATTACTCTATGGACTTTTATGCCACAATAGATGGCTTAAAAATATTTGTTAAAGCTTTGTTCATTTTCAGTGTAATATGTTCTATGAGAATACCAGAATTTAAATAAGATACCACCAGCGAGGTTTGTTGTCAAGTTACGTGTACACATATACCTATTATGTGTATGCTAAAAGGCGTGATACCTTTGAGATTATATTTTCTATCTATTTTATTGTGAAATGATGACCAACTTTAGAACCAGGATTAAACCATTATTCAACCAAAATAAGTACACATTTTTGTCTTCTTTCATTGTCAATTTGCATTAATCCATTATCCAACCAAAATAAGTAGACACTTTTCTCTTCTTTCATTGTCAATTTCCTTTAAGCGGTTAATAGTTTACATCAAGTACTTGTTTGAATCCCCGTTTTATAATAAAACGTCATATATTTTCTATACACTACCGCTGTGCTGTTCTATTACATTTGTACTTATTTCTGTAACACGAGAGTGATTTCGTTACTTAACATAAGATATTTTTACAGTTTTAATTATTAAACACAAAGTATTGTGTGAGCGTTGAAAGTAAACGATATGTATCGCTTGCCATAGAACTCTATCGTTTCTGCAGAGTACAATCCGATACATATAAGGTACCTGCGTAATTTAAGGCCCACGCTGTAATAAGGCCCTTCCTTTGAAATTGCTTCTATTCCTGTTCAAACTTTACTCACGGTATAGAAGTGTGTTAACATGATATTTCAAACATGAGCCTTATTACTTTACCTTTAGTTTTCTTTCAACAGTTACATAATATCTGTCATTGTCTATTTTTTCACTTGCCCTAGGAACAGACTACAGTTACGGTTATTAGGAAATAAATTTTTCTTTTCACATTTTTATTAAATTAATTCAAATAGACTACATTATATAAGAGATATTAACCAATATAAAGTAGACTAGAATGTGTAGTAGGTTATACCTAATATATATTTATATTATTCTAACATAAATCCTGCGTGCTTATCGCCCCAAAAAGGCTGCATTTAATTAAGAACATGGTTGGGAAATTTAGTAATATTAGAGATATCGAAATATCTTAATGTGTTTTAAGTTAATTAAAAACTTTTTTCGCTTATATATTGAGACTCGAATGTTTAACCATTAGATTTAGATATATTTCCTGATTAGCTAAGATTGTACGAGCAAGCATATATTAATATGATAAAATATAACACGACCAAATAAATAAAAAAAATGATAACCTCCATAGCAGTATCGATACCCAGTAGAGTCAAAATTGTCCTATTGAAACTCACGAGTCATCCTGCGAGCGCAAGAGTGGCATCGTGCAATTTAGTAGTACACTTAAACCATCGCTCCATTTGCTCGTACGACATACAATCGATTAGGACACAACTCGAGCTCTGTCTTTGCTCGAGTCACTCGAGTGAATTTTTCAAACTCGTACTCACTCGAATCTTTCAAGTTAACTTGGCGCATCGAGTTGATTCTCTTGCCTCTAGATGCCACTTCGATAGTCTTATTTATTTATATATTCCGCTTATTTTTTATTTCTTGGTTACTTAATATATAGCAGGATATTCTCTTTCCGTCGTTCTACTATTTTAGTAATTTGTATTAGTAATTTAATTACATATTGTAAATAATATGTGAAAACTCTTTTATTTATATTATATAGGTATTTCTTTAAAATGACTAATACAGATTACTAAAGTAATAGAACGACGGAAAAAGAATATCTTGTTGTCAGATGTAGTTTAACCCTAAAGCTCGATTCACCTAACGCGAAAATTGTATGAGCATAAAAATAATCTAAACACGAATAGCATCAGGTGTCGTTTTTTAAATGTATTATAGGGGTTTTAATTAAGGAAATGAAAATTATGTTTAATGTGAAAGAGGTCGTTCAAGTATTACTTATGCACCGTATATAAGGTGTAATATTATTATATGCCAGGACTTCGTAAGATGGATGAGTTATTTATACTGACCAACTTTTACTATAGGGCAACACTGAATTCACGAAAACATAATCAGCTTCTTAAGTATGAAACAGCTGATTATATTTTCGTAAATTCAGTGTTGCTCCCACAGTAAAAGTTTTTCAGTATAATTAACTTATTCGCTCCACGAAGTTCTCGCACATAATAATATTACACCTTATATAGACAGTATTACATACGGTGCCGACGTAATCAAAATCCAAACGCCATATCAAACTTAGTTGACATCCGCGCCATTCCTCTGGTGCTTACGTAACATTTGAATAACCCCTAATAGATGTAGAAGAAGTGGGTACTACATGTAGTAAAATATGTCATGACTGATAAAAATTCCTTAGAATGTATGTTTCATTCCTTACTTTTAGGTTCGCCCTGAAGAAACGTTTACGACAAAACATGATTCTCTATTCAACTTTTATATGAAAATAAAATATTTTACCACAATGAAGTTATAATCAAAACTTTTCTTTAAGCCGATTTTGCATTCAGAGTATGATCATATTCAGACTTAGAAGCAATCTTTCGTGAATCGGCACTCTTCTCAATGAACTTTTATTTATATCAAACATCATAGACCTAGGCGCGGAATCTCATTACGCTAATGAATAGGTCACATGGTTTGTCGTAGATCTCTAACAGTGCGGAGCTAGGGTAAAACAGATAACACAGGGTGTTGGTGGTACAATATCTTAATATACTTCTGTGTTAGACTTTTTTAAACCTGTCAAGATTTATACAAAATTTGTTTCTATATGAAATCTTAGATATACAAGCAAATTATTGTTTCTAATGGTTTCGGCACACCGAGAGCATCTTTCCCGAGACGTGAGCAAAAGCTCCGGAATAAATGTGTCTTAGTCTTCCATGCTGCATTCTGATCTGCGGCACTACTGCGTGACTGAAGGTTTAGAATTGGACCGCCCAATCTTGATAAATCTGCTGAAAGTTAATCTGTCAACCTGACAGATCATTCACGACTTCATTTTAACATATCAATCGAATTTAAGTTACGCGGTAGACCATCTGAGCTTCAATCTGCTAATTAATACTCTAATTATGTTGACTTGTTAATAGTGACCTTTCAAATAATATGTAACTTTGATTCAATTCTTATTACTATACGATAATAACGTTATCATTAGCAGAATTGCAATGAATTCTTTGATTGAAGGAAACTTGAAGCCATCACTTTAATTTATATTAAAAAATAAGTTTTTGCCGATAACGCACAATATTTTTAGTGTCTTTGATTTCAACTTGGTGGAAAGCATAATCACATTCACCGTAAAGTCTCTGGTATGATAAAACCACATGAAATTCGATGGAAAAAGAAAAGATCTTTCAATAATTCAAAACAAATAAATTTCATGTATCATTTATCGTGCGTGCTCTTGGTGTGCCAATAACTTAGTATTGATATCCAAGTAGTTTTAAATACATTTATTATTGTTATAAAATGTTATACTTATCTAAACAATACCAAAACAAGAACGTGTAAGTGAATATAGTTAATAAATTAGTTTGATTTTAAATTTAACGCTCGTTTTTTATTTGTTTTTTTAAGTGTAATCCCTTTTGACCAATTAAATCCCTGCAGTATCTAGTCGAGCGATCTTGACTTACCGCGTCCCGTTAACATGACAGGTGGTAACGAGCGTAGAAGGGGTCTAAGACCAAAGAATCAGTTCTTAGAGAATCGCGCGCAACGACGCACGCCGTTCCCGCGTACCGCATTCGGAATCGCGCGCATGTTACCTACGCGGTGTATTAATTAGAAAAAAAAAATACAAAATTGTGCACAGATGCAATTCCATGGGACCATAAAGTAATGCGCGGCAATCGATGTGCAGGATTCTACTCTAATAACTTGACTGGTAAGTGAAACAGGAATCACATTTTAGTTTTCGAAGGCATAGGCATATTGGGATGCAAAAATAATTACATTTTTTCAGGTTCCTAACAAATTTTGACTACTTAGTATTTTCCAATACCACAGACTAATACAACGATACAACTTAAGTTTTTCTTTGGGTATTAATAGTTTTAACTAAAAAAAAAAAACAATACTTTCAGAGTCAATTGTCGACCCAGTAAAACTCAAATAATTTTGACTCGCGTTCGTATGTATCTCCAATTGGAAGAAATCAAAGGTATTTACCGGGTTCCAGGGAATCATCATGAAATTAAAATTATGAATAATACTGTAATTCCATTAGCAGTATTTCCGGTGTAACGTAATAAAAATGATTAGTATGTACTTACCTTTACCTCGGGCTGTATGTAATTAAGTTTTTTTTAATACAAGAACCATGATGCATGAAGTATGTATTGCCGTATTTTCAGTATAACAAGAAACAAACATTTACGTTGATTTTGTTTACTAAATTGAAATTTCTGATTCGGTAGTCGGTTTATTGACATTCGATGAGTCGTTAAGTGATCGATTACCATTTGTGGCAAGAACAGGACATGAATTATTTAATTCCATAGCTACTATGGAAACCATCAAAATTAAAAAAATATTTCTGTCAATTTCAAAATCAATATTTTCATTCATAAACATATCCAAAACACTTTGTAATCATCTTTAATTTTTTATCCAATACCAATGAAGGATGTTATAATACACTTAGGGTATGTGCAATCTAAAGAATA